TTTTTTTTACTGAGAATAAGTAGTTTAGAAAGGTATTTATGGAATGTTAGTAAATGGCCATGACTAAATGTCCATAAAGATATTTCTAGAGAATAATCTTCACCAAACCAAACTGCCTCAATTACTTATACATTAGTGTGAATTTAAATCAACACATCCTCTGTCTTAAATACATTTGAAAAGCAAATTTGATCTCTATTTGAGAATTAAAAGTCTTTATATTTCGTTAGAAGAAATATATGCAGCAACTTGATGGAAAGCAGTTGTGCAAGGGGCTCTTTCTAGAACATATATTAAAGGACGATAAAAAGTGATATCAATATAAAAACACTATTTTGAGGTTTTTAATCAGATTATTTCATGTTGAGTGCCAGATGACAGGTACATATACATATAGCTCTGTTTTTTACATTCAAGCTTGGAGGATACCTGTTTCTAGAAGCAAGTTCTGTTTGTTTAAAAACTAACTCTTTGTAATCATAGCTTGAATATTTATAACTAACTTGTCAACTTGTTGGTGGTTGTTCCTTGGTTATCTTTACTTCTTTTCTTTCATCTCTACTACCATTGTCCTCTGGCCTACCCCAGTATCTGGTGTACAAACTCAAAACCATGCACACAGTAGGCATTTCATAAGTAGGAATGATCAGCTAAGGATAATCTAAAGATTGCGGTAAGAAAAATTACCGAGAGTACTATGATTACTTGGATCCTAATTGACTAACATTAGCTGGGCAGTCTATGCAAAATGGCATTTAAGTGATGCAAATATTTGTCCAAGAAGCTAAGATAAAGAAGTCTGGAGTACAAATGTCTATTTCTTCAAAGCAGACATGGCTGAAAATGTTCTGGGTTACACATATGAAGTCATAACCAGAAAAGCTAAAGTTTTGTTCAACACTGCCTAGTATACTTTGAAAGGTTTTGCTAACTCTCTTGGATGCTTAACAAAAGAGCAAATGCCTGCTTCCTAGAAAAACAACAGAATAACAAAACCTCCTAAGCAAAATCAATGAAGTAATCTGTTTGACACCAGTGAGGTGCCATCAACATTCATTACAGTCATATAATATTTATTAATATTTATATGTGAACATGCCAGAAGCAAAATGATAAGCTACTCTCTTTGTAATGATTTCTTTTTTAAGAGATCAGCCATTAAATCACATGGAGGACTACTCTCTTGGTTTGTTTTTAAAACCTGTGGGCTATGGGCCATGTAACCTTGATTCTAATTCCTCTTTGAATCAGATTAGAGATTTGGCACTGTGTTTTGGCCCGTCAATAGCAATAAATGGAAAAGGAGATTCTAAAGTCCTCCAAAACCCACTAGTCGTCTTAGAAGTTTAGTAAGTGTACTGTGCCTTGGAAAGAGAAACACTATAAATACAAGATATTATTATCCTTTAGAACTTCAATTTCAAAACACACTTATAAAATTGGTTAACATTCCCTTCTGGGAGAGCCCCTTTGCCCTTTAATAGTATAAACTAATCATGGCAGTATAATTTCCAGAGCCCATATTTGTGAAAGGACAATGGCTGGCCCTCATGGTTTTCTTCTTCCTTTATCTCCTGAAATTATTGAGAAGCTCTAAGCTAATTTTCTAAAGTATGCAGAGGTACTTAGGAAAGTTGGGAGAGGTGGGAACCTGGGCATTGGACTGACATCGTTCTATACTGGGCACATATGGCACATCGGGAGAGCTGTATTGGCTAAGCAAAATATTCTAGGCTCTTGTTGGCTTTAAGTAGTGCACTTAATTATAACCGGACATGCTTTATATCACTTACAGTTACACAGTCCTACATTTATTTAACTCCCAATTTTTTTTTCCTATAGAGGTCTGCTCATCATTTCTCTTTTTAAGTGCATGCAAAGTAAAATGGGGTCCTGCAGTGTTCTTAAATCTGCTTCTCATATGCATAATATAAAATTCTCATTACAATCTCTTCAACTGGGTCAGGGTAGCCATAGCTCTTCCTGCACCCTGAAAACCTTGTAAGTGACACCTCATAATAGTACAAATGAAGCATGGCATGATGAGAAAATGAAGAACAATGAACCCGGATAGTCAATCCCAGCGGCATTCAAAACACAGAAGATTCCATTTTATTCCCCCAAATATACCACACATGATTTTTCTTTTATGCATTCAAGCATATACATGCATTCTCTATAATGGGAAGAATGTCTTATGATTTCCAGAAATTCGAATATAATCTAACACGCTCATTCATTTGTTCATCTATACATGCATATTTGAAATAGACTCCCATTTGGACAGACTGGCATGAATGTTCAGTTAGGAATTTATCATATTTCCATTCACCTTTGTGCATTTCCTTAGCCTTCATCTTGAAGCTCAGAAATTGTTTCCTTGTGGTCCCTTTGTCTAATTAGCTGGATGTTCAGGGAGTTTATTGACCCAACAAATTCAACATCACCTCTTTCTTATTAGGTTCCTTTGAAGCCATTACCCTGCCTGTCTCAGCTCTCAGCCCCCTGCAACCTCATCTCACTCCCATCTCTCCATCCCTCCACACCCTCAGAGGCTTATTTCATCCTTAATATTCCTTGATTGCTCTCTGTCCAAAGTTAATTTCCTCTTCTTTTCAAGGTAGGCAAGGGATGAAATAGAAAAGCTCACACCTGGCTTCTTTCTGCAGGGGAGGTGGGCTGATAGTTAAGTTGTTTACCTGATTTAAAACATCAACAACAATAACGAATCAGAAAAAGCACAGCATGCATGAGCGATGAGAGGACAAGGGGAATTTTAAAACAAATACAATCCTACAATAGCACTTTCTTCAGAAAGGAAAAGTTCTCAGACTCCAAAGAATAATTCTAGCTGCTGTTCACACACAATTTTTCTCCAGCATACTGTTCTTTCTCTTTATCTATCTATGATAGATGTCCCTGAGTTTTCATTCACATACAGAGAAAAATCATTGCATTCTGGAGGGAAATTGATGTTTGTAAAGACCAGCAGACGGCGCCTGACTGGGGTAGAAGCTGCAAAGGTAAACTTAAAGGAGGGTCGGTCTCAGCGGTAGGGCCCCCTTAGTGCTCATTCCAAATTCCCAGGCTGTTTCCCTACTCATCTATCTATATCCTCAGTAGAAAGGCAGAGCCATGGAAAAGAAGTTAATGCGCTCATGAGATTATTTGCCAAGTGCTGATCACTGATACAGTTTAGCTCCCCCACCCCCACACATACCCCCCATCTGGCTCACTGCACCCACCCACTCTCTGTCTGCCCCTCCTACGCCCTGGCTCGACTCCCTCCCATCGGGCGCACACCCTTCTACAAAAAGGTAAGGCAGTGGGTGAGAATGAAACTCAGTTGAAGGGGGCAGCAAGCTCCTACAATAAAGCAAACCTAGTGACAAGAGCAACAGAAACTCCTACAAATTCAGAGAAATCTACCTCAGTTTTATTTGTAGCTAAAATACTAATTTGGGGCACGCTCCTGCCTTCAACCCAGTTATTCTTAATTGGAGAGAATCCCTGAGAGGGTAACTAGGAAAGGAGAAGAAATGGACCGCTGCTAAGATCCATACAGTAAGGCGTTCCTCTATTCCATCCTGAAGAGGAGTTTCAAAGGGCCCTTGGTTTAGCTTATGTATAGGTTCTCAGTCTAAGCAGAACTGTACACAAGTAAGAAGCCAAACTACCCTTGGCAGCACTACCATAAGCTCAGGGGAGTGTAATTACACTGGGAAAGGGGAGAAGGATCTAGCTGAGTAGAGCCTGAAAACAGACGACCCCTGCCTGCCACAAAGGAAAAGAGGCATTAGAAAGAGATTCCACAACTTTCATTCTGCTTTCTAATGGAATGATTTGTACTCCGAAGAAAAAGAAAAATTGGGGGAGTGGGGAAAGATTCACCAAAATCATTCAATGTTTCAATTGTTGGTGATTTCAGCTGTTTTTTTTTTTTTTAATTGGCAATTTTTTGAAGAAAGATGAGAGGAACTTGGCCATTGTTGGCCGCTCTAGAGAACAAACCTGCCCGTTCAGAATACTGCGGGCTTCTTTCTACACACTGTTCTTTACAAAGGAAACCAGGGTGAGGCGAATAGATTTCATTTGCTCTAATTCCTCTTCTTCCAGGAAGACCTCCTGGCTTTGAGGAACCAACATTGGCCCACCTGACTAAATTCTAAGGAGATTTCAAAAAAAAAAAAACCAACCCTCTTATTCCAGCAATCTTTTGGAAAGGATCCGCAGAGATAGTCTTGGCTAGCCAACCCTCCCTCTGCTCCATTTAGAAAATACATCAGCTCATTCACCAAGGAAAATAAATATGTATATGTGAACGGGCGGGTGGGCGGAAGGAGTAAGGAATGGAGGGGTAAGGGTGTCCAGAAGTTCCACCATGGCCTTATAGGTGCTTTCAATGGCCAAATTGGATAGTATGCCGAAGGACCCTCCTTTCTTTTCCAACTAAGGGAAAAGATGGGGGCCTCCTGTTGAGTGAGTTCTGGGACTTCGCTGCCACTGCTGTCTGGGTACACTTTGGAGGAATGTTCTTTCTGGAATCTCTCGCTCCCCCAGGCCAGGGAAAATGGGCAGGAGGTGGGGCAGCGCACTCTACACAGACAAAAGGTTCTGCAGAGCCCTCCTCTCTGGCGCTCAGATCCCTCCACTAAACGCGGCGCCAGCCCGCCACCGAGTGACCTTCTAGGGAGTAACGCCCCCTTCCTGTGGGGCCCAGCCATCCGGCTCGGGCTGGTCTTTAATAAGTGCCCAGGTCTCCCAATACCTAGACAAGGAACGCCCCTCCCACCCCCCTACCACAAACACCGCGACGCCTTTCCCCATCCCCTTTCCATTGTCTTCAAAGAGATAAGTGGCTACCACCAAACACACCCAAATGCACCTCCCTACTCTTCCTTTCTCCAAGCCTTAGGGGCCGAAAAGCGAGCGCAGAATTGCAAGGGGGGGGGGGGGAGCGAGGGGTAACCCGCGAGAACAACTTGGCATCGCAGACCCACCGTGTCCACCTTTCAAGGATGCCGGTGACCTGTAGATTGCAATAGGCACTGAATGATGCTTGCTGCTGCCATGGAAATGGTGGATGTGGTGCGTTCCCAAACTGGACGCCCCCCACGCCACTCCTAGGAGGCCGCTGAGGGTGAGCGGGACTATCCAGAACAGGGCCAGGCGCCCCCCTGCGCCGCCGCCACCGCCGCCGCCCCCGGGCGAGCCCAGCTCGGCGCCGCAGCGGAGCATCCTCTGGTACATGACGGGGCGCCCGCCGAGGGGCTGCCGCCGCGGGAGGCAAAGTTTGGGGCTCGGGGAGGGGAGAGGACGCGAGGGAGCGGGCGGCGCGGGCTGGGCTGCGGGGCCGACCGCCTCACCGCGCCAGGGCACCCATCCTCTCCCTCCTTCTGAAAGTCTTCTCGGGGTCCTGGAGTCCGCCGTGCCTGGCACCCCAAACAATCCGAAACATAGCCGAGGCGAATGCAGCTGTCGGGGGGCTTGTCCGACAAGGCAGTCCCGGGGAACAGCAAACGCGGAGCTGACTGCTGCGCCCAGATTTCCGGGGCTCCAGATTCTCGAGAGGTACTCCCAAAGAGTTTCGGACGAGAGTGCGTGTCGGGGGATGGGGAGCGGGGAAATTGTTTAAAGCTCCTCCCGGAGGGTCCTCACTTCTACATGACAGCCATCCACCGCGAATCCATTAGGTAAATCCATTTAGCATTGTGTGTGGGTACTGGGGAGGCCACTTCGCCGGCCCAACCTCCTTTCAAAGGAGAAGAAGACCCCATGGAATCGCGGCGCCCCTTCCCTCCATTCAGCCCCAGCCGGCTCGCCTGCTCGCGCCAGCCTCCCCGGGGCAGCGCGCGGAGCAGCGGCGCGCATCGCCTGCTCCCGAGGCGATCTCCGCGTCCGTCGCCTCCTGACACTTACGCCGGGCGAGGGGTTCAGAGAGAACAGTACACCCTTATGAAGGAAGCGGGGACCGAGTAGGGGAACGAGGACCGAGAAAAAGAACAAGCAGGTGAAGAAGTGGAGAAGGGGTGTGAGGGGGGGAGATAAAGAAAAAAGAAAAGAAAGAAAGAAAAACCACACACGCTGGGGAAGCGAGCGGCTCTATGCAAATCTGCAGTCTCCAAACAGCAAATCACTGAAGCTCGGATGCAATGCAGAGGACGAGCCTATGTAACGAGGGAGGCTGGTCTAGCTTCCCACAAAAATCGCCCTGCTTTTCCTCTCCCTCACATTCCCCACGCATCACTGGGACACGTGTATGGCGATGCAGAGAACACCTAAAAAGCAACTCTCCTTCCTGCACTAGGTGATCCCTCCGCCTGAATTTCAATGGCAAATGGCACCCTTCCCCTACCCCTATGGTTTAGATGTAACCAGTGTCTTGAGAGCTAACTTACATCTTAAAAGGGAATGCATTGGGCTTTTTAAATTGGACCAAACTTGTTCTACCAGGTGTTCATACCCAATCTGTAAAATATGACTTGACACCATCTACTCAAGCATCAGTTTTGATGATCGGTTAATTACACATTACTCATAACAACGAGTCCTCTTTTCCACTACATTATCATATCTCTTATAAAGCATTGGAAAGTGCAGGGAACCAAGCACTGGAGGAAAAAGAAAGAGTAAACGTGGCAGCTGAGAAAGAGGGAGAATTGAAAGAGTAAAGAGGAAGAAGATCGTAGCAAAGATGCTCTCCGGTAGACACAAGACAGAGAAACTGCAAGAATGAGATTACTTATTATGTTGCAGTAAAATATGCTAGGGATATTTAAGAACCCCCAAAGATGTCTACAAGCAGAGCTGTGACACTCTTTTCTTGCATCTTACCTCATAAGTAAAATAGCATCAGAAAACAATTTCTAAACCTCTGGCCCCACAAAACAGAGAATATATATATTATGTTGGTAAAACAAAACACCTTTGACTGTGCTGGGTGGTAGACCAGCAAAGCCAGCACACACCCGAGTATAATGCTGGCTCATCAATTGAACTTGGCAAGGAGGGCCACAGTAGCTTCACTGGAGGCTTGGAGACTGGTGGTTAGGATTGGGGATTATGATTGAAACAATGGCCAGATTGCCAAAAGATGAAAAAGCTATGCTACGTCTAGTGGTTGACCTCCTCTTTTCTTTATATTTTCCCCCCTTTCGCTCTCTGGACCTCCCTTCCTTTCTATGTAAAATAAGAGGACCACAACTTGGAATAGGCACTACATCTGAAAAACTTCTGACAATCTATGTAATTCCTTATTTCGAAAATTCATGTAATAAAAAACATAAATCTAAGGAAATTTTATTTAAATAAACTTCCTAAACCAAGTGGCCATTTAAAAGTGTATATTATATATTACTTCCTTGTCCATTTAAAAAGTTAACGATATAAACTGTTCCAGCAAATTCCTAGCAATCCAACATCTCACATGTGTACAAGTCTATGTATTTGTGCTAAAAACAAAACAAAAACTGCAGTAGTTTATTAATTGGTAAGTTTATGCATGCTAGAGAAGGTGCTTTTATCTACTTAAATATGCCACATCGCCCAAGTTTACAACACTGCTCAAGATCCACAGGACGCAAATCCTTCATCCTGCACTATGAACTGGTCTTAACCTTGCCCCAGGCCATTTCTTCATTTTGTTACTTTTTAAATGCATATTTAAATTCTGTATTGTTGCTGCTGGTGTTAAGTGTGGTGCACTCAGTTGTGTCTCCTTGTTGCTAGGTGCTCTGGAGTCAGTTATTAATAGTGACCCTATGTGGCGCTGTGGGCTAATGCATCAGACTGCAAGGTCAGTGGTTCAAGTTCACCAGCTGCTCCCTGGAAACCCTATACAGGGTCTCTAAGGGTCGGAATCGCCTTGACGACACTTCACAACAACAACATACACAACAGAATGAAACACTGCCTGGTTTGGTGACATGCTCACAGTTGTTATGTTTGTGCCCGTTGTTGTTCCCCTGTGTCAATCCATTGCATAGGGGGTCTTCCTCTTTTTCATTGACCCTCCATTTTTCTAAACATAATATTCTTCTACAAGGACTGGCTCCTCTTTACAATGTATCTGAAACATGAGAGAGGAAGCCTCACCATCCTGGCTTCTAAGGAGCATTCTGACATCTCCATAATTCAAAATTCTGACTCATAAAGACCCAGTTTAGTGTCTCCGAAGAGCAGCTGGGTAGGTTTCAACTGCTGACCTGGTGGTTAACAGTCCAGTACTCATCTTATAGTGCCACACACCAGGACTTTAATTCATTAATAAAGAAAAATTAGTAATTTTTAAAAATCTAGTAAATGTTAAAAAAAAAAACAAAAGGAAAAACATCCTTAATGCTTTTAGAATTATAGATTCATATTTGAATTTGACATTGTACAGTTTTTAACAGACAAACTGCACTGGGTTAGGAGACAGTTTTCTTGTCTCTGCTATTGCCTGGTTATGTCATACTAGTTACTTGGACTCTCCCTGAGGCTTCATGACTTTCTTTATAAAATATTTATATTCTTATATTTCCTAATAATCACATAGGTCAGGAAAGATACAATGCAAATTTGAAATGAGAGTACTTTAAAATATACTGAGTAAGTCCCATAATTAAGACATTGTCTATCCTCTCATAGAGATCTAACATATTCAAACTGATATGAATGCACTGCTTGGTTCCTTTCCACTTACAGGAAATGTAGAAAAGTGCATTGTTCTCCAACATAGATAGTATTAATCTATCCTTCTCTCCCCAACTAGATGGCAGATTGCTGGAGAGGACAGGAGTCAGAGCCTCATTAGTATGCCCCCTAGTGTCCAATATAGTGAAGCATAAATTAGTATCTCAGTACATCTTGATTGCTAGGAAAGAGTGGGGTTGGAACTTTGACGGGTGATTTGTATAAATTGAAGCCATAGTAATAGAGTGAATGTAAAAGATTCAGATGGCCTTCCCAAGAGCATTCTAGAAAGAAGATGCTCCCCTTTCTGTCTTATAGTGTCTGGGGCCTTAGGAGAAAAAGGTTGAGCTCTGGGGAAAGGATAGATCAGAAATCTTAGTTTTAATGGAGTGTCAAGAGCTAAAGAAAAAAAAATAGTTATGGCTGTAACACAAAAGGAAATTGTAGTTGAAGTTTGTCAGGAAAATATCTAGGGTACTCTTGTGGTAATTTGCTGTTTCTTGGGGTGGATGCTGAGGGACATATGCTGCAGTATTTGTAATAAATGTTTGTAATTTGGTGAAATAAAGAATAACTCTCTGTCTAGGGGGTGAAGTCTTGTTAGCAAATGTATGCTTATTCTTGATGTATCAGATAAAACAGTAATTGCTATTTATATTGCTTCAAACAAATCAGAACTTGGGTGCTTACAATTGCATTATCTGGGAAACTGAGGCAGAACCTGACAAATTGTGCTTAGATGATTGAAGAATTAGATTGGAGGAATATGGTGTTCAGCTGCCTATAATTTAATTTGCAATATTTCCGCTTAAACAGTGTTCTATTAATATATGTTTCTGTTAATCGGTTCCCCAGGATGGTCAGCTTCTCTCATCAGGAATTTATGCTCCAACCAGATTTGGTTAGAAGCCTGATATGACTTCTATAAGCCTTCAGTTATCATCATCTTCAGTCCCCAGGCATTTTGCTCATTAGTTTTAATGTGTGGTGAAACTAGTTATCATTGGTAAAATTACTGGCTTGTTAATTGGTATAAATAAAAATTAGGAAGATGTACTCTTAGGTGTAATACTGTGGGTTAGTGAGCTGGACTACAAAGTCAATTTGAACCACAAGGTTGGTGGTTCAAGTTCTCCATTCTCTTCTTAGAAACCCTATACAGGGATGCGTCAACTCAATAGCACTGAGCAACAAGAACGTGTGAATTAGGACTTCCCTCATTTATGCTGACTCATAGGGACCCTGTGCAGGGTTTCTGAGGCTGTAAATCTTTACGGGAAAAGAAAGCTTCATCTTTCTCCCACGGAACAGCTGGTAGTTTTGAACTGCTGACCTTAAGGTTCGCAGCCCGATTCATAACCACTACACTACCAGAGCTCCTTAAACCTTATGAACAGCAGCAGAATACTGTCACATAAAGTGCCAAAAGATGAGGCCCTCAGATTGGAAGGCACGCAAAATACAAGCAGGGAAGAATTGCTTCCTCAAAGTAAAATTGACCATGGGGACATGAATGGAGTAAAACTTTTGGAACTTTCATTTGTTGATGGGGCACAACTCAAAATAAGGAAAAACAGCTGCAAACATCAATTAATAATCAGAACAGGAAACGTACAAAAGTATGAATCTAGGATAATTCAAAGTTGTCAAAGATAAAATGGATCACACATAGATATCGTAGGCAATAGTGAGAGGAAATGGACTGTCACTGGCCATTTAAAATCTGACAGACATATAGTTTACTATGCTGGGAATGACAAACTGAAGAGGATTGATGTATTCATCATCAAAAGGCACATTTCAAGGCCTATCTTGAAGTCCAATGCTGTCTGTGACAGGATAATATCCATATGCCTACAAGGAAGACCAGCTAATACCACTATTATTCAAATTTAGGCACGAACCACAAAAGTCAGTGATAACGAAACTGAAGAATTCTATCAACCTAGTCAGTCTGAAATTGGTCTTATGTGAAATTAAAGTGAACTGATAATTATTGGTGATTGGAATACATAGGTTGGAAACAAATAGGAAGGGTCAGTAGTTGGAAAATACAGCCTTGGTGAGAGGAATGATGATGGAAATCACATGATAGAATTTTTGGAAGACTAATAACTAATCAAGGAGCTCTGGTAGCGTAGTGGTTACAAATTGGGCTGCTAACCTCAGGGCCAGCAGTTCGAAACTACCAGCTGTTCCACCAAAGAATGATGAGGCTTTTTGTTCCCATAAAGATTTACAGCCTTGGAAACCCTGTACAGGGTCTCTGTGAGTCGTCGGAACCAACTCCACAGCACATAACAATAACAACAATGACTATTCATTACAAATACCTTTTTTAAAGGACAAAAAAGACAGCTCTACACATGGATCTCCCTACTCTGACACTCATTAAGTCACAC